GCTTCATGCAGCCCCTCTCTCCATGTGGGGAGCAGGGAGATTCCCTGCCCTGCGGATGGAACCAGCATCACATTGCTTTGAGAGCAAGGTGGGGGAGAGCAGCCGAGCAGCACCTCCATGCTTCACTTCCCAAGGAGCTGGTGTTCTGCCCTACATGTAGGTGCTGAAGCCCTGCTCTCCTGCCCGGCAGGCAGAGCTGTGCCCGGATCCCATAGGGATGGGACACCACTTTTTCTGCCTCGGTCATAGAGATTGGAGCCAGCTCTTTCCCTCCATGAGGGTCTCCTTTTGGAGCTCTTTGTCTGTGCGCTGGTGCAGGCAGGAGCTGATGGGAGGAAGCACCAGGGCACTGATGTTGGCTGAAGTCGTGGGGAAAGCCTTTTGTTGCATGGAAAAGCCTCATCCCTGTTTGAGAGCTTTAAGGAAAAGCATCTCCAGGGCAGAAAGTGGAACTCCATCCATCCCCTTGGCAGCTGAAGGCAAAGCACGTCGCACATGAGGGCTTGGAAGCGTTCCTGGGATCGCGGGCCCTGCCTTATGTGGTGTGCGGCTGGCGGCATCCCGCAAGCTGCTTCCTGGGATGCACCCGGAGCTGCCCTGGGGATGCAGGAACGAGGGGCTGGGTGCTTTCCCTTGGGAAGACTCCGTAGGAGGTTTCCTCTGCCCTAGGAAGAGGCTGGAGGGGAGGGATGAGGCAGCGGCAGCAGCTGATAAGGCATCAGAGCAGTTTCCCACCCTCGGAGGAAGCGATGCCTGGGGGGACCAAGGCGAGGAATCCGCCGTGGGATGTGTGTGGGGCCGGGCTGTGATCACTTCAACGTCTTCTGCCATGGTTTCCTCCTGCGTGTGTCCATCCAGCTCCAATGCGTGTGGCAGAGAGCTCTGTGGGCAGGCTGAGCCGGGAGCAGCCCTGGGAAGTGTTGGGACATGCAGCAAAGGAGGAGGAGGGAGGAATTGCTGACACGGAGAAGGCAGCAGAAAGGCGCTCTCTGCCAGGGCTGCCTTCCCACGGACCCTGTTGCGGGAGGAGGGTGCTGGAGGGAGCAGTGGATGCAATGAGCCTGGGGACTGCGGTGCTGCGGTGCGGTGGGATGCAGGAGCCGAGCCCAAAAGCGTTGCCTGAGAGCCCGAGCTGCTGTCCTGAGACGCCCATCCCCTGCATGGACACGGCGCTATCCCTGCAGGAAGGGCTGTAGCGGGGGCTTGGTGCCCCGCCGGCTCCAATCCTTGCTGGGAAAGGGCGAGAAGAGCGGGTTGTTGCATCAGGGCTCTGCTCCCCGGGGACCGGGGGGATGCCTGGGTGACAGCACGTCTGCCCTCCCCTCCGAGGACAGCCTTGCACTGTAGTTACCCTTTTCCACCATTCCCAGCTCTCCAGCGCCACGGGATCCCTGTTTCGGTTACAAGAGCAGGCTGTTGGGGTGGTTGGAAGCCAGCGAAGGAGCTTTGCGGGTTCCTCTCGGTTATCTATAGCTTGTCCTCCTTGTCGTGCCCCATCGTGCAGGTTCCCAGGCTGGGCGAGGGCATTCTTCCAGCTTGGGGGGCTTCGGGGATGAGGGGAATTGGATGGGAAACCTATCAAAGGAGCTAGCAGGGGTACGGGCAGCACGATGGAGAGGGTCCCTTGTCCAGCCGTCAAGGCTTTCCCTTCTCCTCCCATAGCTGCCTTTATCCCTCCCTCTGCAGCAGTGGGGCTGGGTACATGGGTGCTCCCTGCGCATCCAACTGCTGCAAGAGGGTGTGGGAAGGCAGGAGGCACCCAAGGGAGAGCATTGGGAATTCTGCCTGTGACAAATCCCCCCATGACCTTTACACAGCTCACTCTTGCCCCGGGGTGGGGTGGGGGGGGGGGGAGTTTTGCCTGCCCTTGGCTGGGTTGTGGGGCTGACAGCGGGTGCTGTGGGTCAGGGAGATGCAATGACAATGAACTATTCAGGAAGCGAATACCAGCGGCATTTGGGGCTGGAATTTCCAGCTGTTCTGCTGGGGTTTTGTCAGTTGTAATGGGATGAATGAGGGAGCAGCTGCCTCTTCCTGGGGAAAAAAAACCTGGGCTGGCATCTGTTGGGTGCCTTGGTCTCGCAGCCGAGCCAGCCCGCAGCTCGGGAGGTGTCAGAACCATTTTTATCCATGAATCCAGCCTTTTCTCCACACCCGGCAGCTGGTTTCCTGACCGCATTCATTGCTTCATGGTTTAACTTTATTCCAGTTTCATGGATTCCTTGTGGGCACTTGGGATCTGAGCTGCCCTGTCCATCAGGGAGTGGTGGGAAAGGTCGAGGGGAGACCTTTGCAGAGCCGGCATTCCTGCAGGATCAGGGTGTGGGGTTTGGAAATCTGGCTTCTTGCGTTCATGCCAGTAAATTCAACTGCATGGAACTGGATGGAGAACAGGCTGCTGACTGCGTCGGGTCCAGCTTTGAACCTTCCAGTGTGCTGGAGACAACTGTAAAGCTTGTTTGGGCCTCAGGCTTGTTGTTATCCCTGTTTTCTGCTTGTGGGGACCGCTGGCTGTGAGCTGCTTTCCTGCAGTTTGCTTGGAAGTGGGTCCCGCTTTCCCAAGCAGGCTGGAGCATGGGAGGCAGAGCTCCCATGGGCAAGGAAGGGAGAGGGGAGATGGTCGTGGTCATGGGCACAGGGATGTGTTTGTCCCCATGGGGATGGAGATTGGAGGTTTCACAATGGATAGAAGGGGCTGCATCTGCCTCCTGACACTGTACTCGTGGGCTGGCAAATGCCACACGATGCTGCCTCTCTCCAGCCTGAGCTCTGGCTCCCTGAGCCTCTGCTGTGTGCTGAGCATCTGCAGCGTGTGGAGGGGATGGTGCAGGCTGCTGTGGGACCAGGTCGCTCCTGGAAGGGCTTGAGATAACCAGCGGGCTGTGACAACTCTGCCCTCCCGGTGTCATTGCATGGGGCGGCCCGAGCTGAGCACTGGCCTGCGAGTGGAGGGAGCCAAGCGCCTGGATTGCAGCTGGAATACCACATCCCATCTGCCTCCTCCCGTCTGCAACGGGCCAAACACAGACCTCAGCCCGCTGCGGGTGTTCAAACCCAGGTCCGAGTTTTGGAGCCGAGGCAAGAATCCCATGGAGAGGCCTGGGATAAGGCGCGGGGCGGGGGGGAGAGCAGGGAAGGAGCGGGATGCTGCGGGGCCAGGGGGGGAACCGCACGTACGGCAGCTCCCGGTCCGGACCCGCCCGTTCTCTGCAGCCCCGGGGCGCTCGCAGCGCAGGAGCCGCACGTACATCCCGATGGGGAGGTCTGGCAGCGATCGGGCCCCGCTGCTCTCCCCTTGTTCCTCCCTTCCCCCTGCGAGATGCCAGAGCCCTGATTGAAAACAGCCGGCGTGAGGCTCGTAGGGTTAAACAGAGCCAGATGGGAGCGGGCGAGACAAAAAGGAAAGTAACGGCCTGGGGCTGGAAGTGGGAGGGGGCGAGAACAGGATCTTTGCTTGGAGCAAGTTAATTACTTGGAGCCCCAGGAATGCAATGGGATGGCTTCAAAGGGAGCCGGGCCGGCCCAGCCCTGGGAAGTGACCCATTTAAGGGTCCTAAGGGCATTGCTGGGTGGGATGGGGACCCTGTCTCCCCATGGGAAGCTGTGAGCAAAAGGGGTTGGTGTGGCTGCCCCAGCAGCGCTGGGCTGTGCTGTTTGCTGCTCAGATGAGGGCTGGGAGCATTTCCCTGCTGCTGCCCAAAGGCAAAAGCTATGGGCCTGGCTCAGCCCTGTGTTTTCTGCTCACACTGGGCTGTGCTGGGATGAGTGGGGCCATGGTGTGATGCCCCTGGCCCTGGGCTCCACTCTGTGCTGGCGCAGCGAGAGTGCTGAGCAGATAAAGCCTGATTTCCCTCCATCATCAGCATCATTTCTGCCCCATGCTCTGGTCCCAGCAGCACCGGTTCCCACAGCAGATGCTGTTGCCCCAGGGAACATCTCCTGGGACAACTGTTCCCCATCTTCCTCTGAGTCTCCTCATCTTCCTCCCTGTCTCATCTCACTTGATTCTCTTTCCCACCCTGCCTCTGCTGAGCTCCTCCATCTGCCTCGCTGTGCATCCAGCTTGGCTCTGTTCCTGCTGGGGTGACAGAAGCCTGGCGAGCACCCCGAGGTGTCTGCCCAGGAAGCCACAGCCCTGCAAGTGTAGGAGCATCCAAAGCACCTTCTGTGCTCGGGGCTTTATGGGGAGCTTGTCTGCAACAGGCTGGATCCCTCCATCCTGCCAGGCATCAGCTGCTAGCAAGTCTTGCAAGGACCATCGCCGCTGTGCCAGCCTGCAGCAGGGAGGATGGAAATGGGATCAAGCCTTAACAGGCTTGATAACGACCCAAGAAGAGGGAGGGATGGAAACTCTCTGCCTTGGGGCAAGCAGGGACCTTACCTCATCCCTTCACATCTCCTGCTTCCACTGGGGCTCTCCACAGACAACCAGCCCAGCACCCTGCAGCGGTGATGAGTGGGTTATCTGGGCAGCAGAGAACACCTTCCATATTGCCCATGTGTAATCTTACAAATGCCCTTTTTTATCACTCGGCCTTGGAAATGGGCTGTCTTGCGTTAAAGCCTCATCCCTGCAGCACAGGACCATCCATCTCTCTGTCCCACTAACTGCTGCTGGCCTCCTGATGCTGCTGCTCAGCCAATTTGCTACTGAATCGTTGATTTCTCTTTGGCTCAAGTGCAAATTAAACCTAATCCATCAAGGTCTCTGAAGGGGAGCTCCATCCTTTGGGGAGAGTCAAGGTGGTGGCGTTCCTGAGGGGGTGAAAAGAAGCCCCAAACCAAAGGAAACAACTCCCCACACACACTCCCATGGCAAAAGGCTGAGCCAGAGAGAGGGGATCTCAGTGACTCAGGCTTGAGGGTCTTCAAATCCAGCTTTGATTTGGATTTGAAGAGAGCTTCCAAGGGGAAGGAGAGGAAAAATAACAGGGATGGGAGGTGATGCGGTACCCGAACGCGGCGCTTCCTAACCCATCTCTTTGCGCTGCCTCCCTCAGGGAAACATCTGGACCATGAAGGTGGCCTTCAGATTGCTTCTCCCACTTGTTCTTGTGCTGGTCTCGGAGGTGAGCGGGCAGCGGAGGAAACCCCCCCGGAAACCCACCCGCCCGCCCCCCGAGTTTGTTGAGCCCGTGGAGCCCACAGAGCTGCCCCCACCGCTGCCCCCGGGACCCCCTTCCATCTTCCCTGACTGCCCCCGGGAATGCTACTGCCCCCCGGACTTCCCCTCTGCCCTGTACTGCGACAGCCGCAACCTGCGCAAGGTCCCCATCATCCCGCCCCGCATCCATTACCTCTACCTCCAGAACAACTTCATCGACGACCTCCCAGAGGAGTCCTTCAGGAATGCCACGGGGCTGAAATGGGTCAACCTGGACAACAATCGCATCCGGAAGGTGGACAGGCGGGTGCTGGAGAAGCTGGAAAACCTCATCTTCCTCTACATGGAGAAGAACCAGCTCAAGGAGGTGCCTGCTTTCCTGCCGCCCAACCTGGAGCAGCTGCGTCTGAGCAGGAACCAGATCTCCAAGATCCCTGCTGGGGTCTTCAACAAGCTGGAGAACCTGGTGCTCTTGGATCTGCACCACAACAAGCTAAGCGATGGGGTCTTCAACAAGAACACCTTCAAAGGACTCAAGAACCTCATGCAACTCAACCTTGCCCACAACATCCTGAGGAAAATGCCTCCCGGGGTTCCCAGTGCCATCCACCAGCTCTTCCTGGACAGGAACAACATCGAGGACATCCCCAGTGACTACTTCAAGGAGTTCCCCAACCTGGCATTCATCCGGCTCAACTACAACCAGATCTCCGACAAGGGGCTCCCCAAGAACTCCTTCAACCTCACCAACCTGCTGGTGTTGCACTTGGCCCACAACAAGCTCACCAACGTCCCTTTCATCAGCCCCAAGCTGGAGCACCTCTACCTGAACAACAACTCCATCGACAGTGAGTTGTGCTGCCTGGGGGGAACAGATGGGATTGAGGATGGGGGCTCGGTGGCGTTTTCCACCCGCTGGGTTGCGAACCCTTTAAAGGGGGACGTAGTGATGGGATGAGCTGGGAGCTCTTTGTAGGTGAATGAGGCCCAAAGGAGGATGGATTTGCGCGGGGCTGAGGTTTGGGGTGGTAGCTGAGGAGCGGAGCTCAATTCCCCCTGGTTCTCGAAGGGCTTTTCTTGCTCGTTGTCATGGGCAGTTCTCTGGGGCCATTTCCCCATTTGAACAGTTGCTTCCCCAGCAGGGCTCAGAAATAGGGATATTGAGAAAGGAGCCTCTGTGCACATATTTTAAGAGCAGATGCCAAAACACGCAGTCAAGATGGTTAGAAATAACCTAGCTCCGCTCTCGAGCTCAGCCTCACGGAGGAAGGAACAGGGAGAACAAGGCAGGGATGGAGGTTGCCTTGGCAAAGCAGCCGGCGCCGCAGTTTGATGCGAGAAGTGCTGGCCTGTGAAACGTGTAAACAGAGCTCGTACGACGGAGGAGAAGGCAGAACCCCATTCCCGGCCACCCCAGATGTCCCTGCTATGCGAGGTCCGGCAGCCCGCTGTGCTATCCGTGGGGAAGCAGGAATGTGCTGCTCCTGCCAGAAACCCTCTGTGTGCACCAGGAAAAGCCTGCTGGGCTCTGCCCTTTCTGGCTGTGAGGGGTGTACGGGGGCTGCAGGACCCGCTCAGGGCATTGCTGGCAGGATGCTGGTCCCCACCGGTGCCGCTGTGTTTATTGTGTAGTGATGGTGTGTGGATGCAAAGCATCCTGCTGCCAAAGAGGGGCTGTGCAGCCACAGCGCAGCTCCAGCTGAACGTCGGCCAGCAAGGGACAAGCAAGGAAACTGCTCTGAGCAGGCACCCACTGAGAGCGCTGTGGGATGTGATGCCAGAGAGGGGGGAAAAAACCCTCCCAAAGCCATGTCCCTACTCTCAGGAGATCGCTGCTCCCAGGGAATAGTGAACCAATGATGAATGTGTGGTCCAAACGCTGTTAATCTGCATTGTGTTTAACCAACACCAAACTGGAGCCAAGGGGAACCCTGGGGTGAAGGTGGTGATTGCTGCTGGTCCTGCTGGGGCTGCCCATGGAGAGGAGCCTGCGTGGCTGTGCCCATCGTGTCCCAGCTTTGCCTTTGCCTATTTTATCCAGCTTTTGTAAGGTTTCAGTGCCTGGAGCTGGGTTTATTTTCCATCCTGCAGACCCTGGGGTGAGGAGAAGCACGTGGAAATCCAGAAGCAAGCAACGAGCTGGTTGCTGGTGTTATCTAATGGTGCTGGAGCACGGTTCCTTGATGTTTTGTTGAGGGCTTAGGGCTGCTCGGCAGGTTTCATGTTTGGAATGACGCCTTCTTCCTCTCAAATGACACCGTACCCATCACCGTGCTGCGGCTGAATGTGACCTACTTCGTTTCTGATCAAAAGCGGGATTTTCCTCTCGCTGGAGCTGTGCTGTTTTCTGGAACAGGCTGGGAATCCCCCCCCCCCCCCCCCCCTGGTAGCAAAGCAACCCCATTTTGGGGTTCAACAGGCAGGCAGGGAGGGGGGACTCAAGCCTCAAGCATCCCTCTCTGCCTTCCCTTTCCTCTAACCCGCATCCCGCTTTTCCTCTCCTCCCTGCAGAAATCAATGGGACGCAGATCTGCCCCACCTCGCTGATGTCCATCCAGGACTTCTCCCCCTCCGACCTGGACAGTGTGCCCCGGCTCCGGTACCTGCGCCTGGACGGGAACCTCCTGAAGCCCCCCATCCCCTTGGACCTGATGATGTGCTTCCGCCTCCTGCAGTCCGTGGTGTTCTAGCCCTGCCCGGCAGCGCGGCTCTCCCAGGACTTGGCTTTGCACAGAGACTGAACCCACATCCATGTCTGAGACGTGGGACCCTCTTTGCCTCCCTCTCCTTCTGCTCACATCCCTCCTCCATCCCTCCTCCTTTCCCCTCTTTCCCCCCTGCAGTGCACGCGTGGCTTGTGCATCCTTGGGGACCACAGTGTGAGGGACAGCACCGTGTCAAGCAGCCACCCCAGGTCACAGCATCAGCCCAGGGTGGCTGTCACGCTCACCCCAGCTCCCTGCTTGTGGGCTCTGCCTTCTCTGCCCTCCCCCAGGCCAGCCCTGAGGCTGGCTCTGCCTCTCCTCTTCTACCCAGCAGGGTTTTAGGAGATTGCATTCAGCCCAAGCCAAAAGCATCTCTGGATGGAGCTGATGGGGAAGCCCAGGGACCACTTCACTCCAGGACCCTGCACCATCCCTCCGGGATGCATACAGAGAGCCTGTGATGTTCCTCGGGAGTGATGGAGGTGGAGCAGGGATGCCTTGGGCCGGTGTGCCAAGGGTGCAGGGGTACAGGGTGAGGCCAGCGGGTGGCTGGGGGAGCAGGGTGTGCGCAGGCAGAGGGTGGCTGGTGTGGCAATGACGCCTCATGGCCATGTCCCAGGGCCCCAAGCAAGGGACACGCTGGTGTGGGGGTTTGCCCTTGGCTCTAGGGGTTATTCCCTCCCAGTGGTGTGGCTTTGGCAGGAGGGAGCGGGGAGGGTGCCTGGCCCCTGCGCTGGAGCTGGGCTCTGCTGCGCCCTGGGTGGGTTGCACCTTCCCCGCAGCAGCCCATCACAACCCCTCCTTTGCAGAGCAGCCCCTTCCCCAGCTTCCATCCCAGCAGCATCATTCCATGGTGCCGCAGCCCCCTTCCAGCCCCCTGCATCCTCCCATGTGGAGACGAAGGACTTGGTGCATCGGCTTCCAGCTAAAACCCTGCACAGGATCCATGGCATGGGACCCCCAGGCAGGGCAGAGCCAGCAGCTCTGCACTGATGCCAGCAGGACACTCATGTTTAGGTACCCAAGGGCTGATGCAGGTGTAAGCCTGGGGCTGGGTTGACCTGCAAGGCCTCTGCTTCTCCCCCTGTTCCCTCCTTGATTCCCACCTCCTGGAAGTTTTACTCTCAGTTGCTTTCTTGAACCACACACATGGATTTGCCTCTTTTTATTTTGGTTAGAAAAAAAGAAAGAAAAAGGGAAGAAAGACTCTTTTGGAACAGCTGTGTTTTATCCTCCCTGTTTCACATGTATCACTTCCCTCTTTGATAGCTGTACTGCATATATAGGGTGTCTGGGTTTGGGGGGGGTTGTTCTCTCCTTTTTTCTTCCTGATTCTCAGGATTTAGATTTAAGGCCAAGCATTAGAGGGGAAAGAAAAAAAAGAATCCAATTGAAACACGTATTAAAGCAACAAACCAAAGACACCAGCTTGGTACCTCCACTGCGTTCAGCCAGCCTTCCCCAAGACAGGCACGGACGGGCACCGTGTCCTGCTCCTTGGGGTTGGGATGGGGATGCTCCCTGCAGCCTGGGGACGCGCTGGCTCTGAGCCCTGAACCATGGAAGGTTTATTCACCCCCTGTGCTAATTCAGCCTTATTTTCCCATGAGCAAATCCTCTTCCGAATCTTCCTCCCGTGGGCTTTGTTGGGTTCGACAGGTTTCAACCTTAAACCCGGAGACCCTATGTATATATATAATGTGTATATATACTGGTAGACTGTACAGATATAGCTAGAGACATATGTAGTTCTCGACTGATTTCAACTTAATGGTATTTTCACTCCTACTCTCCGCAGCAGTGGAAATAAAATGATTCACAAGGGACCCAGCACCGCGTTTGGGCCTGCCTCCCTCCGATCCATCCTCATCCTCCTCGCTGCGGGAGCTGCCGCTTCCCTCAGGACCATCTTTCCTCTGTTGGGCACAACCTTCCCAGCAGTGGGAGCTTGGGAGAACCCTGGGAGTCCCTGCGGTGGGAGGGCTCCGGGGGTGTTTGTGGTGTGCCCTTGCCTGAAACGACGCTGGCTTGGAGTCACAAGCAGCAGCGCGGCTGCGGGGCGCTGCTTGCGGGCACCTTGTGGAGCTTGGGCCTGTCTTAATGAGCACCTCTGCTAATGAAAACGAGCCTGGCTGACCTCAGCTGCAGCTCCGTGGGCTGTGCCTGCAGCTGAAGGGGCATCGTTGTCCCTGCGAGGCAGCTGGTGTCCGTGTGGGGTAAATGAGCTTGGGCTGATCCATTCCCCCCATCGCCTTCATGCGCCCGGAGAAGCTGGACCACTACCCCCAAGGTGAGTGTGCCCTGCGGGAGCAGCACGGAGGAGCTCCAGGGCGCGCAGAGGGGCAGGGGGCCCCTCTCCTACCCGCAGCATCCGTGCCCAGGGCTCCCTTTCACACGAGCAGAATGGATGTAGGCAGCGCCTTCCCCTCCTGCCCATCGCCGCAGCTTCAGAGCTCTCCTCTCGCTGCTGAACATGAATCACGAGCCGAGAGGGAGGGTGGCCGTGGGCTGGGTGCGAACGCAGGGGCTGCAGCGTGGGGCTGCTCACGGGAGCAGGAGGGGATGTGTGGATGCGGGGATGCGCAGAGCAGCCCTTCTGTGCTCGTGCTGGAGGAGAAAACCTCCCTGTTTGGGACTCAGGGTGTGAGTTGTGCCCTCCCGGGGGTGCATTCACTGCCTGCCTGTGTCCCCCCCACCCCGGGAAGGCAGTCCTGGGGGGCTGAGCGCTGCAAAGGGGGGTTCAATCCTTCCCTCTGCACAATCGCTGTGCCACTATGGGAGGGGGACCTGGGAAGCTCTACCCTCGCCGTGTGTGTCTTGGGGAAGGCTGGGGGGCTGAGTGGGGCTGCTGGGATGGGCACCAAAGGTGGGTGCTGATCTTCCCAATGCTGGAAAGGGGGATGTGGGCTGGATATAGCGAGAGGCAGTTTGGAGCGGGATGAGTGACTGCTCGAATCACACTCCCCCCCCTAAATCACTGCTGACCCCCAACCCACTTGTGGGTGCCAGAGCAGGGCTTGCACTGATGATGCCATGGGTGCAGGCATTCACTGCTGCCTCTGGGGACAAGAAGTGGGGGCAAGGATGGGCACCAGTTCCTTCTGTAGGGCAGTAAAACCACTGCCCCAGGGCCCCCTGTGCAGCAGCTAACCCTATGCTGGGTTGCTGGGCAGGAGCTCCCCAATCTCCCCCCATCCCATGTCCCCTCCAGCCATGCTGGACCGAAGCCCCCAGTGAAGGGGGACTTGGCAGTGGACCCTGGACCTGCACCCCTCCAAGGAGCAGGCAGAGCTCAGCTGTAACTGCCACATCTCCTCCATCACTGCGCCTGCCCAGCCGCCTAATGAGGGCCTTAATGAAGATTAGTGGTGGCCCCATGCTCTGCCCCACGCCGAGCAAGGCGGGGATGCTGGGGGCGAAGGGGACTGCGGGTCCATGGCCAAAACCCACGCTGGTGGGGGGCTGTGGGGTGTCCCCGTCTGCCCAGCGAGCACCAGCAGATGGGTGCTGCGTCTCTATGGGTGGGTGAGCGCGTGGGCTTCAATGTGCCTGCGGGAGAGAAGAACATTTTCACAGCGGTGGGTGGCTCTGTGTGTGTGCACCAGGCTGCCCAGCACCGCGAGCAGCCCGTGGGGCTGCCGTGCACCCCCTGCCCCACAGCCCAGCCCCACAGGACACATCCCTGGCAATGACATCCCCTCCTCATCACCTCCAGGGGATGAAGCCCCCCTCGGGTTGAGCCTTACCATGGAATGTTTGGGCTGGAAAGGACCAGCCTGTTCCAGTCCCCTGCCATGGGCAGGGATGCCTCACACTAGGCCATGTCACCCAAGGCTCTGTCCAACCTGGCCTTGGACACTGCCAGGGACGGGGCATTTACCACTTCTTTGGGCAGCCGGTTCCTCACTATGGGTATCACACATGGGGGGTATCCATCGGCCCCACTGACCCTACACAGGGAGAGATGGGGTCATCCCCATCCTACCCCAGTGAGTGGAAAAGTGCTGCCTTGGTGGCACCTGGGCTCGTTGTGGTAGGGATGAAGCTGGATCTGGGGCCTCTGTCCCCATTGCCCATGGGGAAGGAGCACAGCAGAGAGCCAGGGTTCCTGGCATTGCTTCTGCTTCCCCATTGCCCAGCCTCACCCATTGAGGGTCCAGAGCAGGACCCCGATCCCTGCATCACCCCTGGACCCCTTCCCCAGCTGCTGGAGGCTGGGAAAGCCGGGAAGCGCGGGGCCTCTCCTTCCCAGCTGCCCAGCCAGGCGTGAAATGGGCTGAAAAGAAAAGGGCTGGTGACGTTCCTGGGGCAGAGGCCGTTTGTCCCCCACTGCAGCCCCTGTGCGGTGCCGGTTCTTCCTCCCCATCCCTCTTTGCTCCCGTTTCAGAGCACCCGGCCCCATCCTGAGGGGTGCTGCTGGAGCCCCCCAGGACCGCGGTCCCACCACTGCTGTGGCTGGATGCAGGATGCGGATGCTGGCCTTGCTGTGCATCGCCAGCCTGTGGCTGGGGGCAGCTTGGGCTGTGCCAGCCAGGGAGGAGAGGAGGAAGGCAGAGAAGCCGAATGATGATCTTGAGCTCTACGACCCGGACAACTATGACCTGACATTGGACAACTACGGCGACATCATCGACCTGAGCAACTATGAGGAGCTCTACGACTACGGTGACTTTGCTCCAAAGGTGAGGGGGACCCGGGGCAGGTCTTCCCTGGGTGCATCCCAAGGAAGGGGCTTGTCCGAGGGATGCGGAACCAGCTTCATGCACAGCCCTACAAGCCCTGGTGGCTTTTCCGCCCCTGTTGCTGTGTTTGCAGGTCGAGGTTGGCACCCTGGCTCCTCGCCCCAAGAACCCCGTGGCTCTCCCAACCCTGGGTGCTGCAGCTGAGCCCATGAAGCCGCAGCCTCCGAGCCCCCCAGCACCCATCCCTACGCAGGGTGAGTGTGGAGGCCTGGGTGCAGCACAAAGGTGGGGTTTGGTTCCAATGGGATGCAGCCACACATCCCTGGGTGCTCTGGAGGAAAGGGAGCAAATCCTTTTGCCCCCAGCAGACAGCAGCAGTGATTTGCCCAGAGAAGCTGTGTTGGAAACAGGGGCTTGGAGCAAGCTGCTCCAGTGGAAGGGGTCCCTGCCCGTGGCAGGGGTTGGAGCTGGAGGAGCTTTAAGCTCCCTTCAACCCAAACCAGGCTGGGATTCTATGGCTTGCTCTGCCCAGGCAGCGAGGTGATGGGGTGAATGTTAGCAGGAAAGCTGCAGTGAGCCATTTCTGAGAAACAAGAGCTCCAGCAGCAACACTTTAATGAGCAGAGGCATTGCAACAGTCGGACAGAGTAGCAATTACATTAGTGACAATTAAAATCCTGTAGCGAGGGATAAATATCTTCATTCATTCTCTGTCACTCTGGACTAGGACAAATTAAGTGGGAGGCAAAGGGAAATTGTTGCCTTGCTGCTTTGAACTCCTCCACTAATGGATGCTGCATCTCATGGGGGCTGGGAAGTGGAGGGGGAGCCTAGGGAGGGGGGAAACACGGCTTCACCCCTCCTGCCACCCTGCCGGGACCCTCACACAGCCCAGACACGTGTTCGGATGGATGCAGAAGTGTTTTCCTTCCATTCTGTTTCCTTCTGTACCAAAACCCAGGGGGCTGAGTGAGCCCTGGGTACCACACTGCTGCGTTTGGCATCCTCACCTCTCCCCCTCTCCCATGGGAGGCATCTGGCTCTGAACAGCATCATTCCTTAGCAGCATCCTTGGCTGGGAATGTCGGTCCCTTGGTGAGGTGCCCTTGGCTGATGGAGGTGCTGGGGCTAAAGACTTGGTGTCCCCACAGCATGGGCACATCCTCCCATCTCCCTGCATGTCGGGATGCTCTGGGGGTGCTGTGCCATGCCAAGAGCTGCCCCTGCACCCGCAGGCCTGCCCAGCTGCCTTCTCTGCCTGTGCATTGGCACCTCCGTCTACTGTGACGATGCCGACCTGGAGCACATCCCATTGCTGCCACCAGAGACCACCTACCTCTATGCCCGCTTCAACCGCATCGGCGCAATCCGGGCCAGCGACTTCACCGGGCTCAGTACGTCCAGGTGAGGGAAGGGGGAACGAGTGCTTCCGCGTGGCTCCCTCTTCATCTCCTCCCTCCTGTCCCAGCAGAGAAGCTGAAGCGAATAGACCTGAGCAGCAACTTCATCTCCTGGGCGGATGTGGATGCTTTCCATCAGCTTTCCAGCCTGCAGGAGCTCCTCCTGCCCGAGAACCGCCTGACGGCGCTGCCCGAGCTGCCCCCCAGCATCATCCGCTTGGATGCTCGGCTCAACAGGATCCCCAGCGCCGGGCTCCGGCATGAAGCCTTCAGGGTGCGTGCAGGGATGGATCCGTGGGTTTGGCCATGCCAAGGGGTGGCAGGGATGGCGCTGAGGGCCAGAGCACGGTTTCATCTCTCCCCTCTTCCCGCAGGACCTGAAGCAGTTGCAGTATCTCCATCTATCCGACAACCAGCTGGACTATATCCCAGCGCCCCTGCCCCAGAGCCTGCGCTCCCTGCACCTCCAGGTGAGATGAGCCAGGGACCATGTCTAGCAAAGCCCATCACATCCTCATCCTCATCCTCATCCTCATCCCCTCTTGTGCCTTTGAACCTGATTTCGCCCTTTGCCTCCCTGGCCAGAACAACAACATCCAGACGATGCACGAGGACACGTTCTGTGACAGCCAGGACCACAGCCAGATCCGCAGGGCGCTGGAGGACATCCGCCTCGACGGCAACCCCATCAACCTCAGCCTCTTCCCCAATGCCTATTTCTGCCTGCCCCGCCTGCCCACCGGCCGCTTCTCCTGAGCCCCACGGCCCCATCCCCACCCCAGACCCTTCTGCCCCATGTTGGGGTTAAGGCACACATGTTTAACCCCAGTGTGAGCTGAGCCTCCGTGGACTCGGCTCTGGTGCACATGGAGCAGGAGATGGGCAGCTCTAATAAAGCAAAGGCTTTAAAAATGCATCCAGTGTCTAGTTCTCATCCAGCCCTGCAAAGATGGGGCTTCCCTGCGTCCCGCTTCCTCCTGGGGCCTTGGGAAGATTCCTCTGTGTGTGCTGTCAGGGTTTCCTGTACAGGGATTGGGATCTGCATTGCTCCAAAGGGGATGCTTTGGCCACATCAGGTTTGACCTGTGCTGTCCCCTCAGCGGTCCCCAGGCCCATCAGGGGGGTGTGTGGCTCTGGAGGAGGGTTGGACAGCCAGATGTGAGCTGTGGCCACTGCTGGGCTGTCCCCATGTGTTCCAAAAGAGGATGCGATAGGAAACCTCAGCACAGGGCAGCACAAGTCCTCCATCACCCCAGACCTCCTGCATCCCATGGACATGCTCTGCAGGGACCCCAGTCCCCAGAGGGAGCTGGCACCCAGGGGTGATCTGCAGCGTGAGCCTCTGCGTTCAGATCCCTGGGTTTGGGTCCACCTCAGGAGGACAGAAACCCTGGAGCAACACCGGAGCCTGCGAGCCATATCCAGCAGGAAAGGATCCCTTGGAAGGAGTTAGAACATCTCATCTCATCCCATCCCAGCTTCCAGCACCCGCAAAGAGCTGCCCAGTGGTGAGATATTTTAAATGTAATGCATTCATCCTCTGTATTTTTATTCCCCTGTCACAAACACGCAGCGAGGGATGACACATCCCCGGAGAATCCAGCATCCCCAACTGCAGCCACCCAGCTCAGCCCACATCCTCCAGGCCTGGGGCTGCAAACTGAGGCGGCTGGAAGAAACCTCACAAGAAGATCCAGCTTCTCCTCCCCGGGCTGCAAACGCTGCTGGATGCTCATCCCTGCGTGTGTGTGCACCACCAGCATCCCCTCGCCTCTCTTTGCCATGCAAAACCCACCTCAGACGTGGGTTACGTTGACCCAAAAGCCTCGGTAAATGGGGCTCTGGAGCTATTCCAGCCTTCCCTTTCAGGTTAAAGCACCAGGATTTATTGCCACTGTTGTCATCCCTGAAACAGCTCTATCTCTCCCTCCTCTCTATTCCCATATCCCTCTTCCTTTCCCCATCCATCCTCCTGGCACCTTTGCACTATCCTTTACCCCCGGTGAGCTCATCTGCTCCGGTGGGATGAAGGATTGCTGCAAGCCAGGCTCCAGCGGGATGGAATTGGCCGCCTTTTCCCACCGGCAAACCCTGGTCCTTCGCATTCATCCCACTAGATGGCAAGGCAGAGTGTTTGGGAAGGCCCGACTTCAGCTTGGGACTGCGAACTCACGCCCTGCTCTTGATCCATCTCCCTCCTGGGGTGGTTTGGGGCACGTCCATGCAGCTGGGGAATAGCCCAGGTGCTCCGTGTTGGAAAAGGATTAAAGGGAGCTGCAGAGGGGAGAAGGGTTTGCTCCATTGCAGCAAGGTAGGTGGAGGGGTGGCACTGGGGGATATGGGGCTGCTGGCTTTGCAGAGACCAGACTTGGCTCAGAGCAATGGGGGTTACTGGGGCTCAGCCCCCGTTCTGTTGGTGCAATTATTACCTTGGATCTCATGTCCTTGCTGCTGCCTTGGTGAGGGAAAGAAACCTGTGTCTGTCCTTGCAGTGTGATGCAGGCAACAGCAACAACCCTCTTCTGCCGCTATCCTCGTGGCCCTTTCCCACCCTGCTGAAAGGCCCTGTCCTCTCTGTGGGGCTGGACTGGCCCCAAGCACCTCAGAGTGGCTGAATGGATCCTGCCCTGGAGCAGGGAGGATGCGGTGGCTCTGGGCATTATAGCCAGAGGGAAAGCCCTGCCCCAGTGCAGCCTGGCTTGGTGGCACGTCCGAGACCTTGCTGCCCTGTGTCCCTTTGGCTGGGGGTATCTGGGAGCCCCGGCTCCTCTCCATCCTTTGGTGCTTGCCCAGCACCAAGGTTCTGCAGGGGCAGGGTCACCCCCTGCCTTTGGGGACCTGCCAGCATCTGGAGCCATTCCCGTGGTGGGGGCTCCATGGGGTTGCACAGCCTGCCCCATGCATGGATGCACGTATGGGGCTGCACATCCCTGCTCACAAACATCCCAGCATCGGGGCCAGCAGACCCGTGGTGGCACACGGGGCCAGGCAGGAGCAGGGGATGGAGCAGAGCACCCGGGGGCAGGATTAGTGCTGGAGCCATGTTAGAAGCCAGGAGCTGGAGCTGTGCAAAGGCAAAGCCTTGCTCTGATCTCGGGAGCGTTTGCTGAGTAACTGCAGGAGCTGTGGGTCTCAGATGGGAATGGCAGCCCCATGGCTGATATGGGGCATAAAGAGCAACCCTGGCTGGAGGGGATGTGCAAGACAGGCTCCTGCTGTAGGGATGGACAGGGAGCAGCAGAGTAACCCCAAGCACCGACATCTTCCCCCTGTCCTCTCCGCCGGACCCACAGCACGCAGCAGGCTCCGTGCAGGGCTCCCATCCCTCTCATTCCCCTCCATCCCTGGCACCCCCGTGTGCCATCGCTGCCGCTCTCCTCGCTCTGCTCTGCTGCTCAAGGTCACCTTCCCCGGGTGCTCACACATTGATTGCCTGGCTCGAGCAGCACCCGTCTGCCTCGCTGAGCTCCTGCTCCCGCGCCAGCTCAGCATCTTGCTGCTCCCTGGGAGAAGCGGCTCCATATGGGCTCCCCCCCCCATCCTCCCTCCTGCTCTCCCCATCCACGTTCTCCTCCCAGCCCCAGCCATGCAGCACTAAGGGCTGGGAAAGCCTTCGAGCACCAGGGAGCAGCAGCCTTTGTCCTCCTCTGCCTCATGGGGAGCTTGAAAGGAGCACGTTCCTCCCCTTGGGTTGATTTAGGAGGTGGGACAATGGGTGGCAGCCTTGCAGGACCTCTGCCTGCCTGAGAACTGCCTCCGTCCCCTTCTGCTTGAGCTTCCTCCTGCGGGTCCTTAATCCCCATGGGAAATGAGCATCGCTGTGCTCATCCCTCTCCCTGCTCCCACCTCCTCACCCAGATTTCTTCCTTGTTCTCCCACCAGCGAGACCAGGAGCAGCCTGTGTCGTGCAGGACCGCATCCCTGGCCACAGAACCATCCCCATCTGTCCTTTGGCAGCTTCCTTAGGGCTGGGGGGACCAGGCCAGGAGCAGAGCGGTGGTGGCTGGGGTTAAGGACCTCAAACAGGAACTGGAGCAGCAGGAGGAGGAGGATGGAGGCTCTTGGTCCTTCTGGGACCCAGGCAAGCTGGGAAGAGGCCACAGTGGCCACATCCATCAGCCCTGTCACCCAGCTGTAACCAGGGCAGGTAACCAGTGGGTCTATTGGCCAAGCGTGCAAGCAGTGCAGGATGGAAAGAGACCCCTGAGTTGTGGATGCTGAGGAGCTCCTGGCCTCCTCCGGGCTAGAAATCACCCTTAAAGCTGCTGGGGAGGGAGCTCCACGGCCTGGCTCCCTGAGTGAATGAGGCATGGCTGGTAACAGCTTTATTTATAGCACTTCCCTGCTGCTGGCTCCGAGTTGTGCTGGGTGGGAGACGGCTCGGGGCTGGAGCTCCCAGGTCCAATGTGTCCCTGTCCCCAACCCGGGACCAGAAACTCGCTTTGCTGCCTGTATAAGCACATCTGGAGTAACCACAATCAGCGCCTGAGGGCTCTACATCCCTAACACCAATGGAGTCAGTCACAGTTTAGAGCTGCCCTTCTTTTACCCTGAAGGATCCCAGTGCTGGGATTCATTTAGATGGGAGTTGCAAGGGCTCCGGAGATGAAAGTGCTGCTCATGAATGATCACTGGGGTGCAGACAGCAACCTGGGCCCCTCCAGGGCAGCTCAGCAATGGAAATAGGCCAGGTGGGGGGACAGGGACCTGCTTGGGCTTCTCCTCTCCCCATTTTCCACTGGGAGGAAAAACAGCAGAAGGAAGAGAAAGGAGAAGACGTTTCCTTCCCCCCCTCCCCAAGCTGTGAAGGGTGAAGCTTAAAAATACCCTATGGAAAAGCAGCCCCCTCCCTGCAGCACGCCCTGGGGCTCCGCAGGCAGCACCCCAGGGCTTTCCCGGCTTTCCTCCTCCATGCTCCGGAGCAAACGGGATTCCTCCCCACGAGCTGCTCCGGGGTGGGAGATGCGACCGGGATGCAGCTATTCATAGCAGCGCTGTGTTAGGGCTTGTCAACAGGAGCCCTGATGCATGGGAAAGGTTCCTGTCGGAGCACAGAGCTCAGTGGGGGCTGCAGGAAACCAGGGGGGGATGGAGCCAGGGATGCAGGCGCTCTAATGGAAGCATCTTTCCCAAGGAGATGGGGCTGGGCTGGAGGATGCTCAAGCCCATGGTGTGTAAGCGATGTCCCTGTTCAAAGCTGCTCGGGGTATCCCCAAAATAGAGGGGTTCTCCCCCCGATGCTGCTCTCCCCTGAGCAGTCCTGGCCTGTTGCTGCAGAGGGAAAAGTGGTTCCAGCATCATTTCCAAGGTGACCCTGTTCCTGCCCCGCCTCCTATCCTCTGAATGGGCCAAACTCTCTGAGCAGGGGGAGATGATGGGATGCAGGAAAATGCCACCAAGTTTGGCTCTTCCATGATGTAAGCCAGGCTTTTCCACGGCTGCTTGGACAAGGACCAGTGTCCTGCTGGGAATGTGGGTCCCCCCCAGCAAGGATTCATTCCCCAGCTCAGGCCTGCATGGAATGGTTGGAAGGGAGCTTAAAGCTCCTCCAGCTCCACCCCCTGCCACGGACAAGGACACCTTCCACTGGAGCAGCTTGCTCCAAGCCCCTGTGTCCAACCTGGCACTGGTTTAAGGGGGGATGGATCCTTGAGGAAGAGCTTGGTGCAGCAGCAGCCGCCATGGTGGTGTGTGGTGGGCCCCAAGCAGGAGGAGGAGGAGGAGAAGAGCCGGGCTCGGTGCTGCTGATTGATCGCCGTCCTTT